AGAGAGAGAGAGAGAGAGAGAGAGATATCTTCCATTCACTGATTAACTCCCCAAATGGCCACAGCAGCTAAGGCTGGGCCAGGCTGAAGCCAGGAGCCAGGAGCTTCATTGGGGTGGCAGGGGCCCAAGTATTTGGTTATCAGCGTTTTGCTGATAGGACATACGCACTCTCCCAGGCACAATAGCAGAAGCTGGAGCAGAACCTGAGCAGCAGGGACTCGACTGGCGCTCTGATATAGGACGCCACTGTCACAAGCGGCTTCAATTCCGATAGTTTCGACAAACATTAGCAGTCAAGTTTACCTTCACCGCACATTCAGGATAAGGCACATTGCCATGGGTGTGTGCTTAAAAAAACTTTAAACAAAGTTATGTCACTCTTTGTTCAACATGTTTATTATCTATCCGTGTGTGTGTGAGAGAGAGAGAGAGAGAGGGAGAGAATGTGTCTCCCGTCCACTGGTTCACTCCCCAAATGCTTACAATGAGTGGGGCTGGGCTGGGCTAAAGCTGGAAGCTTGGAACTCAGCCTGGATCTCCCTTGTGGGTAGCAGGGACCCAACCACTTGAGCCATCACCTGCTGCCTCCCAGGGTGTGCGTTAGCAGGAAGCTGGAATTGGGAGCTGGAGCTGGGAGCTGAACTAAGGCACTCCTAGATGGGCTCTGGGCTTCTTAACCACCAGGCCAGATGCCTCGCCTATTTGGAATTAAAAAAAAAAGTACTAATTCGAAAGAGACAGAGGGAGAGAGAAGGAGAACTGCTCGTTCACTTCTCAAATGCCCACAGTGGCTGGCCCTTCAATCTGGGGCTCTCCCATGGACAGCAGGAACCCAGTGACTTGAGCCATCACCCACTGCTCCCCAGAGTGTGCAATGGCAGGAGGCTGGAGTCAGGGGCCAGAGCTGGGAGTCGAGGTCAGACACTGTGATGTGGGAAGCGGGTATCCTAAGTGGTGTTTCAACAGCTATGCCAAATGCCTGCCCCTGCTCCACATCCTCAAAAATTTGCACCTCCCTCAAATGAACACCAGAATTCCTACAATGCCTTACAGGGCTGTGGCAGAGGAATGGCTGTGAGCTTGCCAAAGCGTTTCGCTGTTTCTCTTGGGCACAAGGAGGACTGTGTTTCTGACCATCCTTGTGTCTAGGTAGGGCCATCGGAAGGCAGACAGACTGATGCCCACCCCTCCACCCCCACCAGACAGGTCCCTGCTGCTGGCTGTCCTCCCACTGCCAGTGATACCAGAAGGACCCATCCCCAGAAGCACCCCCTGGACCCCTCCCCACTACCTGGCCTGGACTGTCTGAGATTACAGTCTGCGCCTGTGGGCTCTGCAGCTGTGGACTCTACAAATGGCAGATGGAAAAGAAGCAAAAACCAACCAACAAACCAGCTGCGTCTGATTGAACAAGCAGGGACCTTGGTTTTCTAGCCATTATTCCCTAAGCAATAGCGGATGATGACTGTCTCCCTCGCAGTAGGCACTCTAAGTACTCTAGAGGACCTAGAGTATACAGGAGGGTGCGCACAGGCTGTGTGCAAACACTCGGCCATTGTACATCCAGGGCTTCAGCATCCGCCAACTTTGGTAAATTCAGGGGGCCCTGGCGCCAACCCTCTGTGGACACTGGGGAACGGACGGCTGCACGACAAAGGTGAGCTGGGCTCACACTAGGCTGAGAAGTGAGCAGGGATGCACCTTCACCCTGTTAAGCCTAGTAACTGGTGCTGACCCTGACCAATGTGGAGGCCCTGTCCACTTGGGCCTCTGCCATGTCTCAGACCTCCTCCCCCTGTCCTCACCTTCATGCTCTCCATCCCAGCCATGCTCATGCCCTGGTTCCTCTTCAGATGCCTCAGGGCCATGGCACTTGTGTTTGTGCAGATGTCTGATGGCCCTTGTCCTGGTCCCTGGAACCATGAATGCTACTTTACGGAAGAAGTGCTTCTGCAGGACTGATGAAGTTATGCATCCTGAGATGGCGAGATTATGCTGGATTATTGGGGTAACCTAAGGTCATCCAGGGGTCCCCAGAAGAGGCAGGCAGAGGGGGATTTGAGGATGGAACAGAGGCCGTGTGATGACGAAGGCAGAAATGGTAGCAATGCAACCCAAGCCAAGGAAGGCCAAAGCAGGACAGGGATCGGCCAAAGCTGGGTGGCTTCTCCCCTTCTCCCAGGGCATCTCCAGAAGCGTCAGCCTGCTGTCAGCTTAGGTTTAGCCCTTGAAGAAACTCACTCTGCCTCCCGCCTCCAGGAGTGTCAGAGAGTAAGCCTCATGTTGTGCCGCTAAGCCCAAGGTCAATCTTCAATAGCATCAGTAGGAACCTCATCCACAGTTGCTTCTATCTGGAATTCTCCTCCCCCAGGGTCTGCATGGCCTCCAGGATGACCTGCTCAGGTAGGGGTCCAGCCTGGCATGGCTGTAGCCACCTTGCCAGCTAGGTGACCCTGGCACTCATCCCCAAACTTGTTGGACAGACAGAGTCACAGGTCACCTACTGAGCCTTCCAGGCCGTGCACTGAGGCCCAGAGGGCTCTCAGTGTTGCTATTTCTTCAGGAAGTCCAGGTCCTGCTGGTTGGCTGGGGACTACCTGGCCCACCTTACCCCTTCTCCCGTCCTGGGGGATTCTCCTGTCTCGCTATCGCCCAAGACGCGCTTCTGTCCGTAAGTCCCAATAAAGCCCAGGCTGGCCAGTCGTGGACTTGCTCACATCTCTCTTCGGGCGTCCAGCCCCCACCACCTTTGGCAACCAGGCATGTGCTGGGCTGCCCGGAAACAGCTCAGGTACTTGTCAGCGTCTCAGCTAGGCTTTCCCTAAGCATCCGCTAAACAGACTCCCTCCCTCCCTCCTATGGTTTCTTTTTTTGTCTCCAGAGAACCTGATAACTATCTTGCTTGCCACATATTCTGCATGTTCTGCAGGTTTATTTTATTTACTTATTGCCTCCCCTCATTAGAGTGTGAGTTCCATGAACAGCAGGCTCCCTACCTGTTTTGGTCGCTGCTGTGTTTCCTGGAGCGTGGTCAGCATGCAGTAAATGTTTGTGGAATGACCCAGTGAGTGAATGCATGGGCAAAGGCCCTGGGAGCCTGAGGCTTCCAGTGCAGGCCAGGCGCCCAGCACTTTAGGACCCTTTGGGGAGGCCTGGGGGCTGCTGGTCTCTTCCTCCATCCCTTCCCGAGTTATCTCCTAGGCGTGGGCTCTGCGGGGGTGTTTGGAGAGTTCCTGAGCCAGGACTAAGCACCGGTTGCCGATGAGGAGAGGCAAAGGTACAGCCTGGAGTGCAGGTGCGAGCAGGGCCTTCCTGGAAGAGGTCGGTGTGGGTGACAAGGCCGTGAACCTGGGAGGGCAGAGGGTTCCAGGCAGAGAGACCAGCCTGGGGGAAGGCCCAGAGCGGCCACACAGGGGTGCGCTGGGAAGGCGTAGACATTGCCTTTCACAGAAACAGAGAAGTTCTAGGGTGCGGGAGCAATTGTGACTGAGGTTGGAAAGGCAGGCGGGGGCTAGATCAGAGAGGGCCTTACGCGTCTGCCTAAGGAGAAGGCTTCGGTCTGCAGGGAACGCGGGCCAGGGAGCAGTAAGGGGTACGGGAGGAGCAGTCAAACGTGGAGAAAATCTACCCACCCCTCCCTGGAGTCCGGCTGGGTGGGTGCCCTGTGGAAGCCCCCGTGCACCTGTGGAGCTGGCCAGTCCCTGGCTGGTGCCTCCCTGTCCTCTCCCCCCGGACATGGGGGCTGCACGGGCCAGGCTTCAGAATTCAGAACAAGTGAGTCTCCTCCTTGTAGCGCTGAGACCTGCTCAGGGCCCTGTGGAGAGCAGAGGCGTCCAGAACCTGGCTCACAGCACAGAGCTTGCTCGTAGAATGGATGCTGGCATCCCAGCTACTCAGCTTCCAATTCAGCTCCCTGCTCAGACCCCTCAGAAAGCAATGCATGTTGACCGAAGAACTTGGGGGCCAGCCACCCCTGTGGGAGACCTGGATGGAGTTCCTGGCTCCTGGCTTCAGCCTGGTCCAGTCTCTCTCTCTCAGTCTCTGTCTCCTCCACCCTCCATTACTTTGTCTTTCAAATGAATCTTAAACAAAACAAAACAACAGCTGGCCACGGGGCGGGGTGGGGCGCTCACAAGGTTCCAGGCACTGCATGAAGGCGTCTGCAGACATCACTCCTTTAATCCTCAGGACAGCTCAGGAATGTCTCCCTTGAGAAAGATCACAGAACAGGGGAGTGGCAGAGCTTGGACTGGAAGCCGGGGTATGATTGTCCAAAGTTCAGGTTCTCGGCAGCTGTGAATCTCCCACTGTGTGACAGGGCTTCCTCCACTGGGTCTGTGGAGGCCCAAGGATCTGTGGAAAAGTTCTGGGAGCTTGTGAATGAAATGGGAAAAGCAATTGCAACTCATCTTCCCAAATGCCTCACCCGCACGTGGCATTTCCTTCTGTAAATGTAGGCAACGGACTGCTGCAGTGCTGTGTGTCAGAACTCCATCACCAGCAGACATCACAGATAGCATGGTTGTTACACATATCTGTCTTTTTTAATTCACTTATTTAAAAGAAAGAGAGAGAGAGAGAGAGAGAGACAGACAGACAGACAGACAAGCACTTCCATCCATTGGTTCACTTCCTAAATTCCTGAAGGACTGGGGCCAGGCTGAAGCCAGGAGCCAGAAATTCCATCTGAGTCTCCCACACGGGTGGTGGCAGGGGCCCAAGCTCTTGGACCATCTTCCGCTGCTTTCCCAGGTGCATTAGCAGGGAGCTCGATCCAAAGTGCAGCAGCCGAGACTTGAACTGATGCCTGTAGGAAACGCCAGCGTCACAGGCAGCAGCTTGACCAGCTTACCACAAGCCTACTGGCCCCTACTCCATGTTTCTGATTTATCTTCCTGCTCATGACTCAGATGGAGTTTCAGGTTCTTGGCTTCAGCCTGACCCACCCTTGGCCATTGTAGCCATTTGGGGAATGAAACAGTAGATGGAAGATCTCTCTCTCTGTGTGTCCCCCACCCCCTCTGTAACTCTGCCTTTCAAATAAATGAGTAAATCTTAGGAAAAAAAGTGAAAGAAACATGGAGTAGCTGGGGTTTGATTCCAAGCACTCTGATGTGGGATGAGATTGTCCCAAGCATCTGCTTAATCCACTGCACCACAATGCCCACCTCTGTGGCGTATATCTTGGCATGTAATTTATACCACCTGTAGACGGGCGTTTGGCACAGTGGTTAAGATGCCTGCATTCCACGTTGGCGTACCTGTGTTGTAATTGCAACTGCCTTCCAAATTCCAGCTTCCTGCGATGTGCACCCTAGGGGGCAACACACTCAAGCAGCTGGGTCCCTGCCACCCATGTGGGAGACCTGGGTGGATTTCCTACCTCCTGGCTTCAGCGTGGTCCTGCCCTGACTGTTGCAGGGATTTAGGAGAATGAGCCAGTATATGAGGGATATTTGTCCATCTGTTGGTCTTTCAACTAACTAACAACTAACTGAATACATCAATAACAATTTGTCTAAAAATAGATACTATGAATGTACAGTTGCCTTAAGAACACGACTAGATCCTGCTGTTCAGGAACTAAGCAGCCCTTACGTTTCTGTTTCGCAGGTGGCAGGTGTAATACTTTGGTATCTCGACTCTAGCACAGTTAGCTCTCCTTGTAATCCGGTGCATTTGCTGTTTTCCGTGCCGTAAAGCCTGATCCCGGGGAAGGCTCTGCAGGCTCCACCGCCCTGCCGACGGGGACTGTGGCATGAAGAATGGCTAAGAGCTGCGCATGGGATCTTCACTGATCCCTTGTGAAGTTATCTCTCCCTCTCAGCCCCTGTGGGCCCGGTGGGGGGTTTTCCTGTGCCGCGTTCTGCCCGTGTTACAGTCGTGATGGACGTGTCTAATCTCCTCTCAGTCCCTGAAGGCAGCACCGTGTCCGACTCATTTGCGCATTCCCCACAGGGTTGTTCAGTACGTAATAGATGGATAATAAATGCTTGGACATGTAGTGAATATGTTAGAGACGAACGAATCGATGAACGAGGGAGTGGACACGGAGCAGTGCGGGGATCACTCTCCAGAAGCGATATTGACATGCTTTGAGTTCACCACCCGCTGGCCACCAGGAGCTTTCCTAGCCATGATCACGTCAAATCCCTCAGCTCCGAGACAGAGATCCTGACATCTGCTCCATGGTCACGAGGAAACTGGGGCTCAGAGACATTGAGTGACATGCCCAGCAAACGCTGGAGGTGAGGGCTCTTGGATTCTTTCTTCTATACTGCAGGTTCCCTCTTCTTGGGAGGCATAGGATGGTTAAAAGCCGGGCAAGGTGGAGATAGTCAGAGAAGGGTGGGGATCTGACAGCAAACCAGTCCTTAAGTGGCAAAGATCTACTCCTGAAAAAGTAGGGCTTGTGGAATGTTCTGGAAGCCTGTGCATTGATATAAGGAATAGCTGATGAGGCTTTGGATTTAAATACGATTTTGGAGCAATTGCAGTTGGAGAAACAGAATACTTCTCCTCTGATAGCAGTCACGGGACTCAGTTTTCAACCTCATCTCTCTCCTGCCAGCATTCAGTCTCCGGGCGACCACATCTTGTCTTGTGGCTTTAAATATTATCTGCTGGCTGATGACTCCCAAATGGCTGTCCTTGGATCTGAGCCATCTCCCAAGTCCTGTGCTTGTATGTCTATTTTTCTGCTTCACGTCTCCACTGGGATATGAAAAAGGATATTAAACTGAACATGGCAGGAGCCAAACGTTTTGTTTCCCTCCACCCCCAAGCTCCATTGCCTCTTCCTGTCTTACTAAATGGTGCCACGGGTCATCCAGTGGCTCGGGCCACAAATCTTGTAATCATCCTGGGCACCTGTATTTCTTTCGACCTCATCTCCCATCTGGTGTGAGTCCAGCCACACAGTAGGCACTCGACAGATATTTGTAGTAGTTCCCCCTTATCCACACTTTCAGTTTCAGTGGGTCCAGTTATCTATGGCCAGCTGTGATCTGAAAATGTGACATGGAAAATTCTAGAAACAGACAATGTATACATTGTGTGCTTTCTGCATGGCCACCTGAAACTGCACTGTCCTGCTCTGTCCCACCTGGGATCTGAATCATCCCATTGTGTAGGGAATCCACACTGTGTATACCAACCACCCTATGGTCAAATATTCAAGGAAACACAAAAATAGCAAAGCAAGGCTACTCTATGCCAAAGAGAAGCATAAAATGCTTCCTGGAGGTGAAAAGGCGAAATTCTTGACTTAATAAAAAAAAGTTGTATGGCAAGGTTGCTAAGATCTACGATCAGGGGGCCGGCGCCGTGGCTCACTTGGTTAATCCTCCGCCTGCGGTGCCGGCATCCCACATGGGCGTTGGGTTCTAGTCCCAGTTGCTCCTCTTCCAGTCCAGCTCTCTGCTGTGGCCCGGGAAGGCAGTGGGTGATGGCCCAAGTGCTTGGACCCTGCACCCGCATGGGAGACCAGGAGGAAACACCTGGCTCCTGCCTTCGGATGGCACAGCTCCGACTGTGGCGGCCATTTTGGGGGTGAACCAACAGAAGCAAGACCTTTCTCTCTGTCTCTCTCTCTCACTGTTGAACTCTATCTGTCAAAAAAAAAAAAAAAAATCCATGATCAGAACAATTCTTCTGCCTGTGAAACTGTGAAGAAGGCAAGTAATCTGTGCTGATTCTGCTGTCACACTGCAAACTACAAAAGTCAGGGCCACAGTGCCTGGTAAGCGCTTGGTTAAGGTAGAAAATGCATCACACGTGTATCTAAATGCATAGCATCTGTAGGCTTTGGTGCCCTCTGCAGTTCCGGGCACCCACTGGGGGTTTTGGAGTGTGTGCTGTGAATGAATGAAGTGGCCGGTCTGGAATTCCCACAGATTGAATCCAAGGAGCATCCTCAGATGCTGCAAGCAGTAACGGCTCTCTTGGGGTTTACTTAGCTCCATGGAAGAGGGCCAGGTAGGCTTCAGAGCCATTTTATAGGCTGGAAAATTTGGAGTGTGCTGTGTCTATTTTTACACTGAAATGAACATTTTACAAAACCATATGTAGGGGCCAGTGCTGTGGCATAGTGGGTAAAACCAAGCCTGAAGTGCCAATGTCCCATGTGGGCACCGGTTTGAGACCCGGCTCCTCCATTTCTGATCCAGCTCTCTGCTATGGCCTGGGAAAGCAGTGGAAGATAGCCCAAGTTCTTGGGCCTCTGCACCCACGAGGGAGACCTGGAAGAAGCTCCTGGCTGCTGGTTTCGGCCTGGTTCAGTCCCAGCTTTTGTGGCCACTTGGGGAGTGAACCAGTGAATGAAAGACCTCTCTCTCTCTCTCTCTCTCTTTCTTTCTCTGTTTTTGTCTCTGTAAATCTGCTTTTCAAATAAATAACAAATAAATTTTTAAAATTTATTTTATTTATTTTAAAGGCAGAGTTACAGAGAAGTAGAGACAGAGAGAGGTCTTCCACCTGCTGGTTCACTACCCAGATGGCCGCAATGGCTGGATCTGGGCTGATCCAAAGCCAGGAGCCAGGAGCTTCTTCCAGGTCTCCCACGTGGGTGCAGGGGCCCAAGGACTTGGACCATCTTCTATTGCTTTCCCAGGCCATAGCAGAGAGCTGAATCAGAAGAGGAGCATCCGGGACTAGAACCAGCACCCATATGGAACGCCGGCGCTTCAGGCCAGGGCTTTAACCTGCTGTGCCACAGCACCGGCCCCACAAATAAATTATTTAAAAAAGGTTCCAGACCAGACTGGGTGGTTCGAGTCTGCAGTGCCGTTGAGTGAAAAGCTTTTTCTTGCTAAGGGCTTGGCGTGAGCTGGGCTCTGCTCAATGCCCCCCGTGCCCTGTGTCACAGTAATCCCGGAGCAGATGAGCAGGCAGGCTCAGAGAGACCCAGGGACTTGTCCAGGACTGCCCAGCTGAGGCAGAGCATGCTGTTGGATGAAGGCTCTGTCCTCAGGGTGCTCTGCAGAGCTCTGGGTGTCCCCCAGTATGACCCCAGCTCTGGAGACCTTCCACTGTGCTCTCTGCGTCCAGTCACCCCAGGAGCCCTGCACCTGTCCCCTGCACGTCCATCTTCTCTCTCCGGTGGGTTTCTGGCTCCCATCTGAGCTCGCTGTGCCCCTCTGCAGCCCCTAAGGCGGTGGTTGTTCTCATTCCCACAGCCCGTTGCACCTCCAGGCCTGGTAGGCATGGCACTGACCCTCCTTGCCCCCCATGCCCTCACCTGCTGCTTTGAGGCCAAGCCCTCGGACCACACCCCTTGTCATTCCTCGATGCAGTCATCTGTAGAGCCCAGCCACTCCTGAAGATGTTACCTAATGGCCGGCGCCGCGGCTCACTAGGCTAATCCTCTGCCTAGCGGTGCCGGCACACTGGGTTCTAGTCCCGGTCGGGGCGCCGGATTCTGTCCCGGTTGCCCCTCTTCCAGGCCAGCTCTCTGCTGTGGCCAGGGAGTGCAGTGGAGGATGGCCCAAGTACTTGAGCCCTGCACCCCATGGGAGACCAGGAGAAGCACCTGGCTCCTGCCATCAGATCAGCGCGGTGTGCCGGCCGTGGTGGCCATTGGAGCGAGGGTGAACCAACAGCAAAGGAAGACCTTTCTCTCTGTCTCTCTCTCTCTCTCACTGTCCACTCTGCCTGTCAAAAGAAAAAAAAAAGATGTTACCTAATGGGTGTTATTCCCACAGCACTGCCCTGTCCCAGTTCTTGGCGATTCCCATACCTAGCGATGACACCTCTCAGGGCTGTGCATCTCACTTCTCTGACCTCCTGTAGCAACCTGAGCTCCGCCTTTCACTCCCCAGGCCACACGTCACTGCCCTTCATGAGCAGGAGCGCGTCCCCTCTCACACTCTCCCAGCTCGCTCAGCTTCGGGTGCTGTCCTTCCACAGTGTCCAGGTGAGACTGTGGCAAGGGGGGCGGGGTGCTGCTGCTTCTGGCCTACCTGGCTCAGCGCGGGGGACTCTGAGGTTCAAGATTTTCAGGGCTGTCTACACAGGTGTCTCATCCTCCTATCTTCAGTTAGTAGCAGGCAATCCAACTCCTAAATCCCAGTTTTGAGGATCTATGACCCAGGGCCATGCCTTTTACCAGCTACCTTAGTCCTGACCAACAGAAAGCAGATTCGGACGCAGAGGGTGCTATGGCGCCGTGAGCACAGTCCCAGCAGCAAGGGTGAGAGCAGAGGGTGGGGTGGGAGGGAGAGAGGACCAGAAGTCCCGGGGACCAGATCTGCTCAGCACACACTTGCCGGATGCCCAGGGCTGGCGGATTGGCTTGGGGCTGTCTTCCTGCGCATGGGACCACCCCTGTTGTATCTGAATACGTTGGTGGCTACCTCGTGCTGGGGACAGGTTATCCAGGGAGCTGATCCTCAGGTTTCCCCCATCTCTTAAAAAGTTTTCCCCATAGAGGACAAACTTTCCTTCACTTCTGTGGTCCTTAGAGGAATTCAGGGAGGCCAGTGTTTTGGTGTAGTGGGTGAAGCTGCCGCCTGCGGTGCCAGCATCCCGTATGGGCACTGGTTTGAGTTCCGGCTGCTCCACTTCTGATCCAGCTCTCTGCTATGGCCTGGGAAAGCAATAGTGGATGGCCCAAGCCCTTGGGCCCCTGCATCCACATGAGAGACCCAAAAGAAGCTCCTGGCTCCTGGCTTTGGATCGGCATAGTTCTGGCTGTTGTGGTCATCTGGAGAGTGGGCCAGCGGATAGAAGACTTCTCTTCCTCTCTCTCTCTGCCTCTGCCTTTCTGTAACTCTGCCTTTCAAATAAATAAATAAATCTTAACAAAAGAAGGAAAAAGAAATATTCAGCCACAGTCCAGAAGATTTTAAAATGTGCATGGGGTGCTCGGTCATAAAATACAGATAAGGTCACCTTAGACAGTAAGTGTGTTTAAAAATAAATAAATAAAAAATAAGTAAAGGAATTCAAAGCCATGCTTTTGGTTGACGTTTTTCCTGGGTACAGAAGCAGAGGGCGGCTGCAGAAGCCCTGGACTAGGGAGTTCAGGCTGCAGAACTGCGGGGTCCCTACTGCTGTGACTGGGGTGCAGCCCCCTGGGGAGTCAGAGTGACGCAGAACAAGAGGTCAAGGGCAGGGGCTGGCGCTGTGGCACAGCAGGTTAAGCTGCCTCCAGCGACGCAGGCAGCCCATACACGTGCCCTTCGAGTCCTGGCTTTTCCATTTCTAATCCAGCTCCTTGCTGATATGCCTGAAAAAGTAGAAGATGGCCCAAGTGCTTGGGCCCTTGCCACCCACGTGGGAGACCCGGATGGAGTCCCAGGCTCCTGGCTTCAGCCTAGCCCAGCCCTGGCCATTGCTGCCATTCGGGGAGTAAACCAGTAGATGGAAGATTTCTTTCTCTTTGCAGCTCTGCCTTTCAAATGAAATAATAAAACAAATCTTAAAAAAATAAAAAAGCAGTAGAGAGTACTGGTGGCCGTGGGTGTGGCTCTGGGGATCTGCCCCCCCCCTTGGCTCAGAGCCTGCCCAAGCTGGGCCCTGCCATTCCTCTAACTCCACTCCTACACCCACCATCAGCACTGAAGGCTCCACCTTTCCTAACCCATCCTGCCCCTCCCACCCAGGGCCTTGGCACCTGCTTCTCGGCCTGGAGCCCCGTTCCTCCCTTACTCAACTACCTGATTCCTGAATTCCCTTCGGGTCCCTTGTCAAATGTCACCTTGTCCAGGAGGCCTTCTCTGGCCATCTTCTGTGAAACTGTTTATACCCTGTCCCCTCTCAGGACTTTCTTTTTTTTTAAGATTTATTTATTTATTTGAAAGTGAGAGTTACACAGAGAGAGGAGAGGCAGAGAGCGAGAGGGAGGTCCTCCATCTGATGGTTCACTCCCCAAATGGCCACAACGGCTGGAGCTGCACTGATCCGAAGCCAGGAGCCAGGAGCTTCCTCTGGGTCTCCCATGTGGGTGCAGGGGCCCAAGGACTTGAGCCATTGTCCACTGCTTTCCCAGGCCATAGCAGAGAGCTGGATTAGAAGTGGAGCAGCCGGGTCTCAAACCGGCGCCCATATGGGATGCCGGTGCTTCAGGCCAGGGCATTAACCCGCTGCTCCACAGCGCCGCCCCCCCCCCCCAGGACTTTCTATTTACCCCGCCAAACCATTATTCTGCCACCTTGTGCCCAGTGTCAGCGGTTCCTTGTCTGCTGTCGCTCTTCCATTTCCCCTGGTACCTCTGATAGACTTGGCACCCGGGAGGGGCTCCGCAGCTCTTTGGGAACGAATAATTGAGTCTGTGAATGGCCATGATACAGTCCCTGTTCCCCAGGCCACAGTTGGTGGGCCCCCGTTAGACCTGATCCCAGCTGGTCCAATCAGGCTTCCTCCCAGGGAATTTGGGAGGGGGTTGGATAGCCTATGCCGTGTGGAGGGGCAGAAAGTCACACATGTGCTGTCAGGGGCTGGGGCCTGGTACTTCTGCCATGTGGACATGAACGTAGCCAGGGGCAGAGCCAGGAGACTGCAGGAGCCCACAGGGCATGCAGAGGGGCCTGTGTGGGCTCCCTTGCCCGTGTGGGGTCCAGGAGATGCCCCGGGGCCCCGTGAGAGACCTCGCCCTTCTGCTACAGCTCACTGGAGCAGTTTCACGCTGACTTGCAGCTCAAGTCTGGGTCAGCAACACCACCAGGTCTGAACGTCGCCGCGCGCATCAGGAGCTGTGCTGGGCCTTGCCATGCTCTGTGGGGGCTGTGCAGGCTATGCTCAGCCGCCACAGTGACGTGGTTCACACACAGCCTCGCTGCAACAGGCTTCCTGGCCCCTTTCCAAGGTCGCCCCTCCGAGGCTGCCCTGAGCCTTTTCCTGACACTCAGTGGGGTGCCCAGCTGCCCCAGAGCCCCAGGCCTCTCTCCTCACCCTGGCACATGGTGCTCCCCGACTCCAGCTGCTGCCACTGCTCCTTGGCACCTTGGCTCCAGGTCTGGCCTCCTCACCCGAGGCTCTGGCCTGGGCTTCCTCACTCCCTCTCTTGACCCCTGCACCTGGCTCCTTCTCTCCCAGCCTCCTGTACCCCGAAGTCCTCTGCCCCTAGGCCTGACCCCAGCACACAGACTCCCTTATCCTCCTGCAGCCCAGCCAACCCTCAGCCCAACCTGACAGCTCCTGCATTATGGATGCACATGTACAAGCAGCTCATTTGCATAGAACACAAGGAAACCACTTCTTTCTTCAGAAGAAAGGAGACTGCTGGTCACTTACTGCAGGTGGGTGCTGCGGTGAGGGAGCCTGCAGCCCCTCCTCCCTGTCTCTGGGCCATCAGGCCAGGGCTGGGCTGTGGGAGCAGCGAATGAGGTGGAGGGAACAAAGGCACGAAGTGTGGGGCAGGCAGAGGCTGTTTATTTTCTGAGTGATTTTGTTTCTTCTCTGTACACACGCTTCGGAAACCTGAGGGCCTGTTGTTTTGTTCTGCTCAGCCCCCAGCCCTCATTGTCACTTGCACCCTCCCCACAACACACACACAGACACACACATGCACACAGAGATACACACGTACACACATACACAGACACACACACATGCACACACACGAATGCAGACACATGTGCATACATGGACATGTACGCACACAGAGACAGCACGTGCACACATAGATACATGCACCACATGCACACACATGAACACACACAGTGACATAGTGACAAACATGCACACAAAGATGCATGAATGCAGACACACATGCACACACACAGAGTCACACATGCACACACATGCACACACAGACACACAGGCACACACGTGTATACACATGGGCATGCACACACACAGGGTTTTTATTCAGTGCCCAGCTGTCCTGGGGTGGAAGGGCAGGAAGGAGGAGCTGCACCCTGAGAATCTCCACTCACCCCCTGCTTGGATCCCAGCGCTGGATGTACCGACTTTTGACAAGGGAGCCCAGGGACCTCCGCTTCCTCGTGGTAAAGTGAGGATCATAGCCTCTCTCTCAGGCAGTTTAGAGGACGTAGGGATTAGGTGTGTGCACGTAAAGCACTCTGCAGTGGGGTGGAAGTGAGGCTCAGGAAACAAAGCCCCAGCCTGGCCTGCTCTCCCACCCTCCAACACACACCCGGGCCTCTGCAGCCAGAGCACAGAAGCCTTTTGTCCCTTGCTTTTGTGAGCCCCATTCTGCTCTGCTAGTGGCCTCCTCCACTCCTCTCTTCTTTATCTGCTGAGCCCCTCTCTCCCACTGCCACCAGGAAGGTGAGAGGATGGGTACCACCCATGCAACGGTGCTGAACAGGCCACTGAGAGTCCGCGCATCAGTGATCGGGTTCAATCACCCACGCCAGGCACATTCTGGAAAGTTCTCAGAGATGGTGTTGTGAGCCGCGAGTGATGGCTGCCACAGGTGAAGCCAGGGAAAGGTGGAGACTCCGTTTGCCTTCTCAGCTGGGTGCAGTTGGAAACAGGCAGGAGGGACTCCGGGCTCCCGCTGGGGCTCCCGTGGGCTTCCTGTCCCGTGTCCACCTAGGTGGACATCTGGGGAATGACCAGAGCACAACAACTTGAAGAAGGAGGGATAGGGTCCCTGGGCAGGAATTGCTAGAGCTCAAATCAGGAGACACAGAAACAGAACAGGAAGAAGAAAAGAGTCAACAAAGTGGTCCTTGCAAAGGATTTGGAACTCATGGGAAGTGCTCCAGGCATGGGACTGCACCTGCTGTTGTGGCCATTACTGGGGACTTCCAGTGGGTGTTTCCTGGCTGACAGTAGAGAGCAAGGCCCGTTAAGCACCCGGTGGATACTACCCGCTAAGCCCCTGGTTGACTTATCGGCAGACTGATCAATAATCAATTGACTCTTGGAAAGTCCAGCCACAGCAGGTGATGATGTGTCAGGATAAAGACCCAAAGTGGCAGTCTGAGCAAACAGCCTACCTCAAGTCCAAGTTCAAGGGAACTTTGCTTTTCACTTGGCCCCTCCCCTGGGGAAGCCCTCGTGGCCTCGTCCAGCAGCCTCTGACTCGGGTGGCACAGCCCTGCCTCTTGTCCACATTCTGGAGGGGAGCGAGAGCTGCTGTGTGGAGAGACAGGAAGAGAGAAGGCAGCCGCTCACGCCTTTCCCTGGGAGCCCTGCTGCGGGGGACGATGGGGTGGATTTGGGGAGGGGGTTGTCTACCTGCGGTGCTTGTGAGACCTGAAGAGCTGGAACTGTCTGGTCCCACCTGTGGGAGCTGAGGGAGGAAGGGCAGGAGCAAGGGGCTGTGTGGGCGGGGGCTGAGCCACGCTGCCTCACCCCATGGCCTCTGCAACCTGCTCCAGCAGCTTAAGCAACCCCCCCTGCTCAGCCGGGCAGGGGGACACGGAGTGGACCCAGCTCAGGGCCGCGGGGGAGGGCTTGGCCTGGGCATGTCTCCTGCCTCTGCTTGCTCTCCCAAGGGCTGCTCTGCAATTCAGATCTGGGCCTTCCCCACCAGACCACCAAGCAGGGACGGATTCTGGCCCTGTTCTCTGTAGCTTGTGAGGCAGAGGGCCTGGGCTCTCCCGCCCCCCCCCCCCCCCAGTACAGGAGCGATCCCCACCTCCCTCCACCCCGTACAGGAGCAATCCCCCCCATACAGGAGCGACCCCCCCACCCCCCGTACAGGAGTGATCTCCACCTTCTCCCCCACCCCCGATATAGGAGTGGTCCCCACCTCCCCCCCATACAGGAGCGATCCCCATCTCCCCCCCCATACAGGAGTGATCCCCACCCCCCCATACAGGAGCGATCCCCACTTCCCCCCCGATACAGGAGCGATCCCCACCTCCTCCACCCCCCCCATACAGGAGTGATCCCCCTCCCCCTTACTCCCCCATACAGGAGCAATCCCCACTCCCCCCCCCCCCCCCCATCAGGAGGAAAACCCCCCCTCCCCCTCTCCCCCTGACTCCCCGTACAGGAGCGATCCCCACCCCACCCGTGCCCGTCCCTGCTTCCGCCCTCTCCTTCCTCCCACCGAGCCTAATTGAAGAGGCTCTGCCTGGCAGAGGAGATGAAAGCTTTATCTTGCCAGTCCATCCCGAAGCGTGTTAAGATGATGGATGGGTCTCCAGACCTGCGCGCCCCTCCCAGCAGCATTAACAAAATTGCCTCTCAGGGGCCCAGCTTCCGCGTCCAGACCGGCTGCGGTGGAGACGGCAGGCCCGAGCTTTGGCACCCGACGGTGGGCACTGGAGTCATCGTGATGCTGCCATCAGCGTTTGCATTCCCTGTGTGCGCGCCAGTCCCCTGGCTGGCATCGGAAGAAGATGAACAGTGTTTGTTAAAAAGCTCTTAGAGGCAGCCTGATTGACCATTAGGGACACTTACCGGCTTCGGGATCTGGATGGGACTGTCACCGTCAGCCCTCTTGGGTCACGGCCAAGTCTTTTCCTGGAGGCCTTCAAGCCTCCCCCAGGTTTGTGCTGTGGAGAGGTCAGCGATGGACCGAGGGTCTCCCTTCCCTAACCAGGTTGCTGGGCAAACCCCTCCCCTCGGCCGTCAGCATCCCCAGCTGTGGCAGGAGGGGGTGGTTGACAGTCGTGGGTTGAATTGTGCTCCCCTAAGATTCATGTGTTGAAGCCCGAGCCCCCAGTATCTCAGAGTGTGACCTCATGTGGACAGAGGGCCAAGTTCAAGTGAGGTCATCAGGGTGGGTCCTCTTCCAAGGACTGGCATCCTCAGGAAAAGGGGAAGCTGGGAGATACACACAGAGGTGCATGTATACACACACACGCGCGCACACATACACACACACACACACACACACACACAGAGAACTTCCTGTGAAGAGGGAAACAGAGCTGGTGCAATGTGTCTACAAGCCAACCAATGGAATGGCCAAGATGGCCAGCAAACTGCAAGCCGCAACTGGAGGGCAAGGGGCAACTTCTTCCTCTGCTGACACCTTGACCTTGAGTGTTCAGTCTCCAGAACTGTGAGGAGGCTGCCCTCCATCGGGGGGTGCTCTGGTAGGGCGGCTCTAAGGGAGAGAGCTCACAGGTGAATCCCACTCACAGGGTGCTTTCTGGGCCTGTGGTTCTCAGGGTCGGCCTTGGGGCTCAACTGCCTCCGGGGCAGCCACGATGCAGCCACGATGCAGCTCTCCACGGCTCCAGGCAAGCGTGGCGGGTGGGAGCCACGCAGACAGAACCTCGGAGCTGAAGCCAAGCCACGGTCTGTCTTTGTTCCTGAACTAAAATGCGTCTGAAGGCTGGGGAGCCCTGGAGGAGCACTGGGTGCAGGAGGGGCTGCATCCCATGTTCATGAGAGCTCCGGGGCTGGGCTTAGTGCCATCCATGACCCAGGGTGGGGGGCCTGGACGCACCCCCTGGGAGCCTGAAGCAGGCTGCGGGGTGTCTGCCTCCAGGGATGTGGGGGAAGGTGCATCTGTGAGCTAATCTCAGCTCTTGACTCTCTTGGGTCACCATGTTTGTTCTCCCAAAAGAGAAGTCTTCTTGTTCCCCAGAACTCATCCTTGAAGTAAACCGGAGCGTCCACTATAGAAAAGTAAAGTCACTGCACACCTGCCTCTGTGGCCTGGGAGCCACGGACATTGACTGAGCCCAGCACAGCCAGATGCCCTGTTAACCACGTCCTACTCATGCTACTGACCACGGTGTTACCGCCCATACCATTCCCTCTCCAACTAACAGACGAGGAAAACTGCGAAACAGAGAAGGGGTTCCCCCCACAAGGCCACATAGACAGCCGGTAGTAGTGCTTTGAATTCAAGGTGTCTGAGCCCAGGTTCTACAGTAGGCAAGGGCTGGCACCTGAGGCCTGGCACCCAGGGCCACCAGGAGGCTAAGAGCTGGGAGCACAGAGCAAACCAGAAAGAATGCAAGGCCATTGTGACATCACTGAGGGTTTGAAAACTGTGTGCTGCTGGCCCGTGGTGGCCTGGCCATCTGCGGGCTGTCTCTCTCTGTGCAGCCTCCCTGTTTACCCAACTGAACCCCTTCGGCAGACGGATTCTTTTCTGGGCAGTGGCTGGAGGGGCTGGCTCTGCCTGTGGGGACAGACTGCCCGGCAGGCCACTTGCTTGGCGCCTCCCTTCCCCCACCATGGCAGGTAGCGCCAGGTGTGTTTGGCAAAGGCAAGAGGAGGGCCAATCAGCTCGAGTGAGCGGGGCTGCGCCGGGGCTGGGGATTGCGGGGATTGCGCTGCAATCAGGGCATTTCACAGAGCAAATTGTGGTCATTTAGGCTCCTCTCCGGCGAGCTTAATTTCAGGCCCAAGCACAGAGGATATTCAGAGACACAATGAGGTAATTTCACATTTTAAAGCAGAGAATGCCGCGTAAATTAGTAGAAAAATCGTGACACTTATAAACCCGTTCTAAAGATGTATTGTTCCCTTTTCTTCTGGGAGAAAAAAAAATCAGCTTCTATTAAGATTGAATTAACCACTGGAGGAGCATTCCTCAGACGGCCAATTCATAAGGAGAGACCTATTTTAAACTTGGTCGAATGGCTTCTGTAGAAAGTGGGAAGAGAGTTCCCAGGAGATGCAGGTGCTGCCCTGGCAGTCCCTACACCTGGCCAGGCCTGGAGGCACTCCTGTCCCCGTCCGCACCCCCACCGTCCCACCCTGGGCTTGGGTACAGCGTGGAATGGTCTGACTGCTGAAGTCAGAGCCCCCCAGACAAGGGTTCGAGTAGAAATGGGTTATGAGGGAGAGGAGGGAGAGGAGAGAGGCGCCACCCTGAAAGGACGCCAGCCCCTCCTGTGGGCATCCCTGGGAGCAGGTGTGGAGCCTGCACGTGACGGGGGAGGGAGCCGGGGATGCACTGGGCCGCATTGCAGGGCTGCTCCGGGTGGTTTGAGTCTCCACCTGGGAGGTAGCAAATAGGGAGAAACAGCGAGGGAAGCAGGTGGTGGAGCGTCAGGCAGGCGTTCACCCCAGGGATCCAGCTCCGCCCACCCTGCTCCTGCTGCTGCATCCCGGCCCACACACCCCTGCCCCCCATCCAAGGGCTCCTCCTTAGGCTCCAGCATCCATTCCAGACGGACAAATGCCATCCCCGGGGCCTGCCAAGGAGATGGGTTCTGTGTTCTCTTTCCTCTATAACTGCGAGTTGTTCCTGCCCTCTCTCTGGGCCCGAGGACCGCCTATGTTGTAGGAGGCCCTTCAGAGTCCTTCCATGCAATCATGGCTTAGATGGTGGGCGGTGGACAGGCGCCAGTCCATTCTGGGCTGTTAGGGTCATTTGGAGAGTGAACCAGCAGAGAGAAGGCCTCTCTGTCTCTGCCTCCGTATCTCTCTCTCACCCCCCACCCCGTAACTTTGCCTTTCAAATAAATAAACAAGTCTTAAAATAAAAAGAAGAACCTCCACGTGCCAGAATATTCCTTGGCACTTTTTGCCCCCTTTACGATACGCTTCCAGTTCATTTTTTCAGAGAAATCAATTTTAATGTCGATCAAAAGGCTTTTTTTTCTCCCAGAGCACCACTGTTCAGTTCTTAAGGAGACCCAGGGCCACAGGCCCCCAAGTGGGTGCAGAGGCTGCCCGCTGTGCAGGGCACGGGTCCCTCCTCGTGGACCTCAGCGCCATCCATCCCCCAGGCCGGCAGCAGCCCCTCGGGGTCGCGGCCAGCGTCCCTGACAGCCGGTGGCAGTGAAACGGCTGTTCTGAGAGTGAGCTTTCTACAAAGACAGAAATAATCAGGTTGACCAAAGGGGGAAAAAGGGAAAATTGAGCATTATGAGGGTGATAATTCAGAAAGTGTCAGCCTCAGAATAATTGAATCCGATGACATTTCGTGCTACAGGAAACAATAGCAGCTAGCCCGCTGCCCGTCTGATTCATGTCTGGTTCATGTTTAACAAAACAAGGGCAAGGGTCACGCAGCCACGAGCCCCATAAATAACCCGTTAATGGGATTTCCAAACAAGCTGTCCTCAAAGTGGCTTTCCGTCTCACTGAGAGAATATTAAAATGCAAATGGATTCGGGCTGTGTCTTCATAAACAACCGTGTTCATTTAACCTCCGACCTCCCCGCTTAACTGCCCATTCGAGCAATTTGTCCGGGCTCCGCGGCCGCCGGCTCCCGCGGTAATTCAGGGAAAGTGCATTAAAGGAAAGGGTTACAATTTGCGATGCTCAGTTAATCACGCTATTGAGATGTTTACGGACAGAACTGGGCTCCTCCTCGCACCGGACTCTGGCCCTCTGCTCCCCGCCAGCCCACACATGCCTGCCTGCCTCCTTCCGTTGCTGGAGAGCCCGGTACTCTCGGCTGTGTGGCCATTGGCTGTGGGCAGGCTGCTTTTTCCAGCTGAGCGAGGCCCCTCCTTGGTCCTCCAATCCCAGCCTGCTTTGCTTTGGCTGCCGCTCTGCTAGGGGTCTGGCCAGAGGCCCTCAGTTAAATGCTCTTCCCAGTGGGTGGTTCCATTCGTTGTAATTTGGCTCAGGCTCTCCCCTGGCAGCAACCACCTGTTACTTCCTTTATTCTTGGGAGCCCCGTGTACCCCGAAGGCCTGCCTTGGCTCTGGCCCTGGGATTGGCCTGGCAGCACTTCTACCAGCTCCTTGAGGGGCAGCTTGAATGTGTGCTCCCTCCCCAGGCTCTGCACTTGCTTTCTGGCTGCCCAGGTGGAAGGATGAGGCTCCTACAAGGAGAACAAGGGGCAGATGTGAGCCAGGGACAGGGGCTTGAGGCCCGACGCCCTGGACGCGCATCTCAGCGGAGATGCTGGAGGAGGGGCTGCTGGGCGGATGACAGGTGCACGGCACCACTTGGTTTCAAGGAGACCCTCCTTTCCTTGCACTTGATTCCAATGGTCTGAGTCAACGCTGGTTCCTGGCACCTGGGAGGGCCTCAGCCTTAGAGGTGGAGAGAGCTGATCTCAGGGGGAACGAGTGGAGGGTGGCGTGAGCTGCAGCTCTGACTCCAAGGCACAGTCTTTCTGTGCACCCGGGGTCCCAGCACCTGCGGCTTCTGTCCGAGGAGCAAAGAGAGGCTCCAAGAGCCTGGGCTAGGGTCTTTCTTCTCCCCTGGGTAGGGGGAGACTGGGGGAAGGAAAACCACGCGGGAGGACTTCTGGGAGTTGGGGGAGGGTGCATGGGTCATGGCCCTGCTGGGGTCCGTGGCCTCCCTTGGAATTTTTGTGTCATTCCTTTGTTTTCTGAAAGTCAGCGCGTCTCTCCTCTGGCAATTCCCCCCTCCCCTCTATAAGGAAGGAGGCAGAGGATGCACCCCAGGTTTCCGCAGATCACTACCATCAGAATGAGGAGCTCCAGCCCTGCCTCGCTCCCCGGCCTGATGAGGTCAGACGCGCCCCGGGTCTACACCCATCTCAGGACCACTGCTTAGTGCAGGCTGCTGCAGCGGCAGACCCAGTCGGGAAGGCGCCCAGCAGTGGCCGGGGCCGCAGGGCCGCTGGGCCCAGCCCGTGCAGAGGGCTCTGCCCTTCCCTTTCGCCTCCATCTTCTTCCTCCATCTGCCCCCTCTCTTCTCTGCTGCCCAGCCTCAGGCCCAGCACCCCTGCAATGGCAGAGAGGCAGGGATGAGCCTGCAGAGCTGCAGAGAACCCGGCAGCCCTGCCCTGTGCGGCTCTGGCCATCAGGCATCCCCTCCCCCTCCTTCTGTTTCTCTCTGTGGTCTCCTTGGTCTCTCCAACACCCTCTTTTTGTCTCTTGGCGTGCGGCTTGTCCCAGCATCTGCGTTCTCTGCTCTCCCAATACGTCCCCAGCCCCTGTCCCCAGCTCCCGCCTCCGGCCCAGTCTAGTTCAGCTTCTTGCCTCTCGCCAGGCGTGGGATCCCTCGGGCAGCTCCACGCTGTGTCTTTGTCTACAGGCTCCCTCCACTCTTTGCTTGCCTCTCCTGGCCATTTTACCTACAATGCACCTTGGACCGTGTCCTTTTCTGCCTTAAAACTCCTCGGGGCTCCCTGGGGTCCTCAGGATTAAGCCCAGCTTCCTTATTGAGACCTCCAGACTCTGGTTGGAGTCTCGCCGCCCTCTCCAGGCTACCCTGTCTGCACACCTCTGGGTGCATGCTCTCTTGATGTCTCCACACACTGGACATTTGAGGAAGAAGCACACATACCCAGAAACAGGGAGATGGGGAGGGGGGACGAGAGAGAGAGAGAGAGAGGTGAGAACGCCTATGCTGGGGAAAGATGGGTTCTCAGCTCTTTGCCTCCAGCCCAGTCTTGCATTGCTGGCCGGGTCACATGTGCAGGGGGCTTCCTGCCCACCAGGGCATCTGACACCGCAGCCTAGCCACCCAGCCACGCGGACCCTACGGGAGCAGGAAGTCAAGGCAGGAAGGAAATCTTAGTAGGAAGGAGACTGTCCGGTGTGGGATGCGGGAGGGTCCCAGGCAGGTGGGCGAGTTGTCAGGGGCCCTGTGTCTCTGTGCGGTAGAAGTGAGGCTGCCAGGCCGTGGAGTTGAGGCTGGGAGGGGTGCTGACCTCGACAGGTCTCAGAGGGCCGTCTCGTAGGAAGTGGGCTCGGAAAACCCTGGAGGCCTGCTGGGAGCGGCCAAGGCTGTGGTCAAGGGTGGGAACCTGGGGCGGGGTGATTTCTTTCTGCAGCGTTGGGCAGCGTGCGAGCTGAAGCGCAGGTGGTGGCTGGGTTGACCCAGGAGTGAGCTTTCTCCTGAGAGTGCAGTGGAAAGACAAGGGTGCGGGAGACCCAGAGCACTGGCAAGTGAGTGGGTGATGTGTGAGACCGTGCGTTCTCCATGGGGTGGGAGAGACGGGCAGGCAGGAAGGGCATGGGGAGCCTGCAAGGCGGGGGGGAAGTGGGCTGGCAACTGCAGAGGAGGCACAGAGACGGTAAAAGGGCGAGGGAGCTGGGGTCAGGGCTCAGGTCAGAGAGCCGGGCGGTGCTGCGGCTCTGGGTGCCGCGGGAGAACGCGGGCACAGGTGGTGGCTGAGGTGCG